TTTGGCGGTGCCAATTTCGTCCTTCTTTTAGTTAAGTGATGACATGGCTAAGTTTTCCATTAAGTAATTCAATCTCTTTTAATATTGAATATTAGGTAGAAACTAAATAGGTGATATGGCCTTTTTGTAATCTATGTGGCAATTTTTAAATTAGATGACATGGACATGGACGTGGTATTCAATTACTTTAATACCCCTCAATTACCTCTAACAATAATGACTTTAATGAGAAATCTCAAGATTGCCCCCCTCCATCCCTTCTTCTTCATCCTTTTTCCCTCACTCGATCTTCCTCACTAGCCTACTTGATCTTTTCCCATGATGAGTGAGCCTGTCTATTTGGCGAGGCTTGCACACCAAGGTTCAATTTTTATTGATCTTGCCTTTTGTCCTCCATAGATCTTTCCCCTGCTATTTTCTTCTCTTCTCATTTTCCTTTCACCCATGGTGGGTTTTGTTAGTGAGGTCAATGTTCCAATTTCCACTCCACAACTACTTCACCATTCCATTCACTAGATTAGCTATCCTATCCATGACTTAGGATTTGAAATGGATGAGTTTGATTTGGGGTTCTAAAGCAATTTGAAATTACACATACAACAAATTTGATTTGAGATTAGAAAAAATTGAAGGATTTGTTTTATTTTTTGGATTGTTAAAAAATATTACAGATTAAAGGCAAAAGAACTATGAATCACAAAAAAAGTACTAATATTTGGGCTTCTCAAACTCATATCTGACCTTGCTAAGCTTCATCTCTAATGTATTATGACCCAAACCAAACTTGATGATGCAAACCTCCTCGACTCTATCCTTACCCCCAATCTTCAATTTTGGAAGAGGAAGATCAAGAATTTTTGCAGAAAATGCTTCTTTTTGTTTATGGTAAGAAGGTCCATGGTTGGGTTTTAAATGAAGAAGAAACAAGGAAAATGTTGATGGGAAAATCAATGATGTTGAGAAGTGGCAATCATAATATGCTTTCAAGTTTTAGGGTTTGTAGAGGTAGGGGAAAAAAAAGGTAAAGGAGATAGTGAAAGAGGAAGAAGAGATCAATTATTATTATTATTATTTTTCGTGTGGATGGGAAAAAACTAGCAACTCAACAAAAAGCTATGTTTCTTTTTCTTCAACATTAGTTAAAAAAAAAAAATGATTGATTTGTTGGGAAGTTAACATGTTAGCTGTCATTTCTTCTTCTTCTTCTTCTTCTTTTTTTCTGTCAATGAAAGGATGAAATTGGTATCAAAATTAAAAGTTTAAGAATAATTTTAGTATTTTTTAACGTTTGAGAATACATTTGATATAAATATGAAAGTTGAGGGACTAAATAGCATTTATCCTTTTTGGTTTTTTGTGATTTTCTGATTCTTCTCTTGTTAATAACTTTTCCGATCTGTACCCAAAAAAATAACTTTTCCGATCACCTCAATAGAAAGAAAATTACTGAAGTCGCAATCTTTCTGTTTTTTCCGTAGAGTGATAACTTTCTAAATTTTCTGTTTAGGAAATGACAACTGATGAGAAACGTGAAAACGAATCAATGAATCATTGAATCATTGAATTGGCTTTTTTTTTTTGGGTACATATCAATGAATTGGCCTTGGTTGTTCGGACACATTTATCAAGTACAACTTCCTCGAATATTGTGATGACCATATAATTACGTTGCAGTAATTCTACTGAGTTCCAATAAATATAGAAATGGGTAAAATATTGAATTCCACCGAAATGGTCAACTTTTTGCATGTCACATTCGAGGGAGTGAAATATTTATTTGATTCAGAGGTTGAATTCTTAATTATTAACAATTAATTAATATTAATTTTTTAACTATTATCTTTATAAAAAAAAAGGTAAAATATTGTTGAAAGTACTACCAAGCTTCGTTGATGGACTAATTATAAACATTCAACTTCTTTTTGAATATTTCAGCGTTGAACTTGAATCACATGCACTCGTGTTTTTCTGTCTCCGGTCATGTACAAACCGCTCTAACACAATTAAGCAATAATGCACTTGTTTGCAGTAGTTGCAATGATA